TAAGAAAATCAAGACAGCTAAAGGGGTTGCCAACTTGCCATACAAAAAGTAACTGTAAAGAGGTCTATAAATGAAGAACAGAAATTGCTTCCCTAATCCATGCATTTTCATGTACCTCTCCAATCTATAAAATATGCTTTTTACTATTAACTCATGGTAGTTACCTGTGGAGACAGGAAAGGAATACTCATCCATGAGGTTGAGATCAGGGGAAATATATTTTTAAATAAAAATAGCTACGTTTGGCATTGTGTTCTTATGAGTTATGACAGACACGGATTTCAGTAGAAAACTTTTGATCTGTTTCTTGATTCTTGACTTCGAAATATAAGAAATTTCCTCTCCATTCCTCGTCTGTTCTTAGTTTAATGAATACTAAACCCTCTCTAGCTGCAACTATATATATTTATATATATATATATATATATATATATATATATATATATATATATATATTTTACGTATTTTCCATCTCCCAGCCCCAAAACTGCCATAGAGTTAGGTGTAGACCTCTTAAAATAATTAATATGCTGCTGTATTGATACTTAGGTTACACGTGTGTAGGGTTTGGTGGTTGGATGTATCTCTTTGAGAATTTAAAACACTTAAAATTGACCTGAGCTTTTGTTGTAGCTTCACAGCTTCACCAACGGATCGAAAAAACTTATTTATATCTTCCTCATCATTTATGCGACAATTGAAATCTGATTTTCTAAATTTTTATCTAATTTCTGATTGAGTGCAATAGAGCGTCAGAACTCAGAGGCAAATAGCATTGCAGGAGCATTAGATCTAAATACAAGATTGAAGCCAAGTAACCACATGAAAGAAAGGAGACATTCAGATATCAGAAGATATTAAAATTCATATTTGGTCCCAAATAAAAAATTTGTATAAATTGCTATAATGGGCAGTTGGGCTCACAAGTTGAGGTCAAAAAAGTTACATGTTTCCCCTCCTCCCACTCCCACCCCCCACCTCCCCGGGCATCCATGAAATTATCAAAACTACTCTAGAAATTTATCTTCTGCTATTTGTAATATGAACCGCAAAGAGAGCTTTTATAAGATATGTCAATCACGCAATGATTTGATGAGCAGAAACATATGAGTATTAGAATACCACAGCATGAAGTGGTCCAACAAAAGGTAGTCGTTGTGAGCTAATTAACCCATTTACAAGCATAAGCATGAAATGACTGTGGTGTATAAACACACAAGTATGCATAGGCTAATAGTGTTGATCAGGACAATGATCCCTGATTCCCTGTGCATGAAGAAATTTCCACCACCATGTTTCTGCAATCAATGTATTCCCTAAAGAATACATGTTGACAGGAATGATGCAAGACTAAATAAAGTATTTCCTTTTAACAGAAAACCCATTCTGATCCTGTTAGTCAAACATAAATCCCAAACACCCTAGCTTCTATATTTGGCAACTCAGAATGCCTACAATATCATCCAGTTAGACACAGAGGCACAGACAGAATATCCTATAAACCACAGAAACACTGAAGGTAATCCTGCTGTTCTTGTGATACTATGGAAATGGGAGCATGTAAAAATGTTTATAAGAAGACACTCAGAAAATTATTTTTGCCGATTTCCAAAACACCTTGCACCTTAAAACATTTTTGAAATTTCTATGCCATCTAAAAAACAAATTTTTTACAAGGAAAAAAAGGGAAAAAAAGTTTATAATCCCCTTCTTTCCTCATTTTATATTGATCTACACTTAAACCAGAACAACTTCACAACTCACGGCCTCAGGTCATTACTCATAATTTGATAACCACAAACAAACCTTTATTCTAAAATAAATTATTATCCAGAAGCCATGCCAGAAAATCATTATGAACCAAAAGTGGTAACTAATATATAACGGCCAACTCAACCATAAGCTTCTATCTCACAGATTTAACACATGCCATCAAAAGACTCATCCACCAATCCATCCCTGGAGTAGACAACAAATCACTTTGATGCATAGAACATTTGGCTAATTCCTCTTTTTAGACCAACCTTATCCCATCCTCAAAGATGCATCAAAATCTCCACAGCAGATTGCATGCATACCAATATTGTACACTATCCACAACTAAATCAAGTAAGATATTCTTATCAGAAAAATTCCAAAGAACTAAGCCCTAATGGGGCTCCTAATTTCTATACACAGTTTCTTAATCAGATCTCTAGGCATCAGCCCCTCCCTAGGTGATAAAGCATTAAGCATCACTCCAACTGAAGAATACTGAAGTACAAAAAACTTAGCAGCTTTCTCATAATAATTAATTAACCTATACCTGCCATGCTTTTAGCTACAAAAAAAGTGTGGGTTGCAAAGTCATGGCATCACAAACTGATATTTTAATGCTGAATACATATACTCACAGATATATCATTATCTCCACTTTGGAAAACATTATCATCTCCACTTCAAGACATTCTATAGAAGAACAGTTAGCGCTTGAATGCATAACCCCAGCTCAAATTTTTGATCACATATTCACTTTAAACCTGTGACACATGATATCTTAAAAATAGTACCAAAATGCTTACCACAAAGCTGTCATCAGTATACAAGTCATTTGCCACCACAGCTCGGATGGTCCATACAGTTAGTTGATTCTTCTGCTTCTTATTCAGACACTGCAGTCAACACAAGGAGAGTCATCTCTAAAAGAAATGTATCACATATGAAATCAAGTAATAAAAAATCATAGACACAGATAAAAACATTGAATAACTTACATCTTTTGCATCTTGTGCCACAGAGAACAATGCATGATAATCTGATCGTGCAGAAGCATTATTGCATGAAGTAGGCGAAAACATTGCTGCTTCCAGTATGGAAAAGAAGTGATCAGCCGTCTCAGGTTTGACACTTCCAGCCTGAATCAACTGTATAGCCAACTTCGAAGCTTTACTGAACTTAGCAGAATTTCCGATGTGGGAGGCTATCTTCTGCATGGCCTCAACAATTTGTGATACAGAAGCATCCGTTGAGGTTTTAAACCTCAATTTCTTTCCAGATCCAACCTCTGAAATGAATTAAAAATAATTCAGCACCTTATTAGCATATTAGTGCTATGCTTAGACATATATAGTCATAAAAGATTATATAAGACCATAATTTCTCTCAAGGCTTTCCATAGCTCGAAACACTATGAAATGCATATGGACTAACGAAGGTTATTGTAAGGAAATAGCAGTCAGCAATTGAAAATTAATGATATTGTCTCACATGAGACATCCCAATGCTAAAACAATTTTCAGTAGGATCCCTCATTCCCTCTAGATCAACCTATATTTGCAATTTCAGCAAACCAAACCAGACAAAATTGAATCTTCATTGACTTATTGCTTTCTAGAAACACAAATGACTAAAAATATCTTGGGAAAAAAATTGGAAAAATCTAGATAAAATTATTATATCAACTATGATCACCATCATGAGTCAAAGACAAAGGTAAGTTGAAACTTTGCAGCTTCAAATATCAACTCTGACCAGTGACATTCATGAGTCATAGATCAATGGTGTCACTTGATGCAATAACCATAACAGAATACCAACCTCGTATAAGTATACTAATTTGACAAATTATCACCATGAAAATGTTGCACAGACAGATATGACAATTCAAATTAACCCAGAGCTTAAGATTTTTATCAGCCACATGGACATTTTCAGAATGTAAAATGATACCTTGAACTGTTATTGATTATAATTGTTTTATTCCCTAAATTAGAAACACTATACAAAGTATAATATAAACTAGGTCTGAGGATTTAGGTCTGGCAACAAACCTTGATCACCAAACTTTATCCAAAATCGAATCAATCACAACAATACCAATCCTCTTTCATTTCTGCTTATTCAGAACCACAATAGTAACCAGGCGAAATCAAATCCACAATGACCCTTAACCACTGAAATAATCCAAAGCAAACCTACCATAACCATATCATTTCTTGTTTCAATGCAGCTTTGCTTATCAAGAAACACTAGTGAACAAATCTATGGATTGTGACAACCCTAAATTACGAAACTTTATTTAAAAGCCGATTAATTAAAATCAATAACATTTCTTATTTTTGATTAAAATTATTCAACTAAGCTTGACCCTTGATCACCAAAACTCAATCCAACAGCAATCAACCGCAATCAACATCATTCGAACCAATCACCAAAACTCCTAAACCATTTAATTGAGCTTTTCATTCCCAGAATCATTCAAGTCTGAAAAAACCAACTTTCCCTACTCAGAAACCCTAAAATGACCAACCCCTTTTAGTTCAAGTCAGCAATAACTCGTAATCACCAAAATTTATACAAAAATAAATCAACCAACAATCAAAATCATTCCAATTAACAATCAAAATGCACAAATTAAAATATGAAATCAAAACTATACACAATTACATAGATAAATTAAAGTAATTGATTAAAAAGGGGGCAAAATTACCTTCATTTGGGGTAGATTCTGGAGGCTTGGATCGTTTGAGGGCGCTTTTGAGGGGAGGAGGAGGGAGTGGAGTTGGGTCTTTAATAATACTAGTTGTTGAATTATTTTCATTGATTTTGACAGATTTGCGAGGTTGAAGATGAAGTTGTTGTTCTTGTTGTTCTTGAGAAGGAGGTGAGAGGTATGAAGGAGGTGGTAAGTCGCCAAATAAGTCACCCGCCATTGTTGAAGGTTGAAGGATTTCTCGCGCTCTCAGTTGCGCAGTTGCTAACTTGCAGGCTTTGCAGCTACAAAGATAGGAGCATTTCTCAGACTCAACTAAGGGGTAAAATGGTAATTTGACATTATTGAATAAAGTAATGAGAAGTTGAAGCAGTTGGTCCCCCATCCTTTGTCAGGTAAAACCCTAAAAAAAGAAAATTAGGAGAGAGAAAAAATACAACACATTTTGTAATAAAAGAACAAAGATAGGAAATTCAAAACCTTCAAACAAAGAGAGAGGCGGTTTTCAGAAACAAGCAAGGCAAATTTGCATCCTCTTAGTACAAATTTGAAGTGTGTACCGTGGTTGTTTAGCAGTTCCGCGAACCGTGGTTGTTTGCCGGAAATTTGGTTGCCGCCGATTGCTGTAGTGTGTCGCTCATCGTGATGTAAGTTTCTACATTTGGTATTTTATTTTTACAATGAATTTGCGCTGAATTGTTGTATGAATTTGCGCTGAGTTGTTGTATAATATGTGCGAATGTTTAAATTTTATCAAATTATTTGCTTTAGGGTTAATTAGTAAAGTGTAAATGTATAATTTCTTACTTTTAGGGTTAATTAAACTGGCAAATCGTTTTTTATTTTTTTGCAATGAATTTCCGCTATGTTGTATAATTTGTGCGAATTGTCGAAAATTTATCAACTTATTTGCTGTAGGGAGTTAATTAGGTTAGTATTATTATAATTTGTGCGAATTGTATATAATTAGGTTAATAGGTTAGTATATAATTCATAATTTGTGCGCATTGTCGAAAATTAATCAACTTCTTTGCTGTTGGGGGTTAATTAGCCAAGTATTATTATAAATTTGTGTGAATGTCGAAAATTTATCAACTTTATTTGCTGTTGGGGGGTTAATTAGCTAAGTAAAAATTTAAATTTTGAGGGTTAATTTTCTTAAAAATGTTTATATTCGTTTGATAGGGTTAATTGAATTATGTGTGGGAATTGAATTATGTGTGTAAGGGTGTTTTGATTAAAATGAGAGATGGATTTGATAAGCTGATGTCTTAGCTTTAAATTGGCTAAATTGCTTATTAGTTTAATAAATCGAGGTGAAGTTTGATAATGTTCCCAGTTGGTGATCCCTTTATGTTGCATTGGTTGATAATGATACCACCAACTTGCTTGTTGGTACTCTGCTCTATAGTGTGGTGGTATTGGTTGGCAGAATTTGATTTGGTTTGATTTGATTGTTGGTAATTGATTACTGTATGTAATGGTATATATGAACTTGTTTGGGTAGTGGTGTAGGTGTTTCTCCAAATAATTATTGATATGGTTTCTTTATTTTGCGTGTGTTGTTCTAATGTTATAGTCATGATGTCGGAGCAGTACACTGATTCTTCAATAAGTTGCAGAAGTAAATGGGGGGTATGTGACGAAAGAATTTATTAAAAGACACATATTGTTTGTTTCAGCGCACTTGTTTTATTTTTTTTGGTACCCTTCGCAGTCTACCCTTAAACATATAATGAGGACGAGAAATGCTCCAAGTGGTTCATCTAGCCAACAACAACCCAACAAGAAGAGAATGAAACAAACAGTTGTTGAGGATGTTGATGAAGGAAATGAAGATAATAACTACGATGGGTTGATTAGTGGAGCAGACAATGCTGACTATGTGGTCGATGAAGAAGAAGACTTTGCTGAAGCTAATATTAATATAGGTGATTACGAGGTGGAGTCAGAGTACCATGTCACTGAACACACCGACAAGAAACGTAAAATTGTCCCCCCACCACCAAAACATGTCAGACCTCCACAACCCCCACACCTAAGGTTGTCAGAAGAGCTCGGCGTCCAGTAGTTATTGAACCGGACCATTATGAGGTATAGAAACACTTTAATGTAGCTAGTATTTCCTTATTATTCACAGTTTTTTGGTTCATGAATTGTGATGTTGGGTAGATGATTCTGTTTGTGTTTAATGTAGTTTGTTGTTCAACAACCGACTTTGACTTTGGGTGAGCAAGTTAAAAAGAAAGGCGTGTTAGTCGCGACACAGCTGAGGAATTGTAGCTAGAAGGTAAAGTTAAATAGCTGTTGAATTTGTGGGACTGTATTATGTTTTCATGTATATTTGTTGTCTTTGTGGGAGTGTATTATGTTCATGTGTATTTGTTGACTTTGAATGTTTGTTTGGTCCTTTTATTTTAGCCAGCGAATTTTAATTGTCGGATTGGTGCATTTACCGATGTTGTGAAGGCGATGGGCATAGATGATAACAAAAAACAGTTGTTGGAGGAAAGTGGGTTTGGAGGGTTGCTGAAGCTGCCTTCAACAAAGATTGATCGTAGATTTTGTTATTGGCTTATGGCACCCGGAGAAGAAGGTGTTAACGGGAGGAGATGGAAGGGAGCTTCCTTTATGCCCCGAACAATGGAGGTGCATATTTGGCCTTCCGCGGGGTCCAAAGCCTGTGCCTGTTAAAGTTCTTAATGAAGCCATGCGAGAAAGGGTCGATCTTATTGTTCTTTAGTATGGGGAGATAAAAGACAATGTTTGCCATATCAAGATTCAGCAAGCAGTTGATGAGCTTCCGTTGATGCTGATTGCAACTGACTCGGACAGGGATGAGTTTATGAAGGCTTTCTTATTAATGATGTTGGGACTACTGCTATGTCCCACTACGAATGGTCAGAGTTTGACAACTTAGTTATTGCCTGCTGTTTCGATAGGGGCTGCTGCCCGGGATTATGATTGGTGTACTTGTGCACACAATTGGCTTATGACTTATGTCAGAGACTTTAGGAAGAGGCTACACAACAAAGGTTACGCGGCTGGTGGTGGAGGATGTGTCCTATTCCTTCAGGTATTAATTTTCTACATGTGTTAAGTATAATTTTGTGCTAATGAAATGGTGGTGCTGCAGTTAGGTTAAATTGTTTGTTGGTGTTCTTATTAGTAAACATTTGTTTTGCAAAGATATTTTACTTGGACCACCTAGCAGTGGCTCCTTTGAGTTGGGGTGTTATGCCACGATCGGTGCTGTGGATTGAGAAGAAACTCCAGCTGCTATTCAAGCTGATTTGCTTCCTTCCTTAGACTATGGAAAACAGAAGGTGAATGTGTTTTTATCTTGTGTAAATAGTTTAGATCCTTTTATTAATGTAATTCGAAATTTGCTCTACTGAATCTACAACGTAATGTGTAATGGTACCAACTAAGAGTATGTTGGTACTGTGTTGACACCATCATATTACGTGGTGGTATTACAAAAATGGGCAATTGTAATGGTTGTTTTCGATTATGTTTCAGGGACATGTTGTCGCATCATCATCAAGGAGGTCGATCAGAAAGGCATTAGGATATGACAGTAAGAAGAAAGGTGCAATAAAAGGACGTAATTAAATGATTATTCACAGATTATTAGTATTTATAATTTTCTGGTGAAAACGATTATGTAATGCCTTTTTATTAAGGTGTAATGCCTTATTTTGATGGTGTAATAGCAATTTTAAGTTTATTATGCAAGGAGTGTAATAGCAATTTTAAGTTTACTATATTTAGATACTATAAACTATAAACCAAACTCATATTTAGATTAATTTAGAATCTTTATTCCATAACATACTAAACCTCAATTATACTTACATACTATAAACTGAATACATAATAAAGGAAATTAAAACAACAACAGTCATTTTCTTAATGATCTGAGTGCTCAAATTAATTTCGGTGATGGTGGCCGAGAGCTTGTCCATGCCCAACCAAATTAACTTCGCCGGAATCATGTTCTCTGACCGTATAACGTTCTCCTCCTCCACCCATTTGAAGAAATCATTGTGTCGACACTTATAATATAAGCGTCCCGGGTTAGAAGACAACTCCGATACACGCACTTCAACAACATTGGACTCGCAATTTGGGCAAGTTATCATCTCCACCCCATGACACTGGTGGTTGTTGAGGAACCCTGCTACTAGCCATTGTATTCCAATGTAAAGGGGAATTTTTTTTTTTTTTTTTAAATTGTTTTGTTCATACTATTCATATTTTGTTGACAACATTGGGAAAAGGGCACAAGCATAAAAGCGGGAAATTTCCCTCCCATATCATTAAGCACGTTGATAGTCTTTTTCCATTATGAATTTTCAATTCCAACAAATCATTTCACAGGGCACAAGCATAAAAGGGGGAAATTTCCCTCCCATATCATTATGAATTTTCAATTCCAAATAATACAACATAAATATTACATTCCCCATGAATGAAAGACAAGACCTCACCCTGATACACTCACCTCCAAAGAAAAGGCTACTTGAAGCAGGTAGAAGCTTAAGATGTGATGGGGACAACGTAGGGGCAGCTGTTTTACACGCGTTTGACAGCTGTATGTCGCAACATCCAATGTCGTAAAAATGGTATAACAATGATACAACAACAATAAGTTATGGTATATATACATACCACCAATACACAATTGTTTTGTACAATGGGACTTAATTCCATACCATCAAATACCAACATGGTTTCTACCAAATAGCTGTTAAGTAAAGTACCGCGTTTATTAGTAGTTACATATTCCCCCTCCAACAATTGCAATTACAATTTGACCTCCTCAGCCCCCCTCAACAAAACACATTCCTCTCTCTGAAGCAACCTTCCCCCTTTGTAATTGTTCATCCTGTTTGAAAATGTTTAAAAGAATCTTTGGCCACACCTCTAAAACCAAATCCATTACCATACAAGCCCGTGGGAATGAGCTTGTTGGTGGTCAAAGAATAAACTACCACCCACAAGCTGTAATATACTTCAATACTCAATCGTCCATTACCCAACCCGAACTAGACTACAACAACATCAGTTACTACCATGATACTCTAGACTACCAAAGGGGAAATCCTATCCCGGATGAGCTAGTAAAATAGGGTATATATTCGTTCCAGCACGATAGAGATGGGTTTGAGCCGCAATGGATGGTTAATCGAAGCGGTGGTGGCCCTATGTTGCATTTTGGAAATTCCTAGAATGGTGCTCAGACAAATTAAAGGAAGAATCCTCTCCTAAAATGTTCCCTACTGAGCTGCTTGCTGTTTTGGATCCAGTACCTAATATCAATGTAGAAAACCCAGCAATTTTTAGCTTCCTTGATTGCCTTGCCGCATTGTTTGTCGCCCCGTACGATGAATCCCTGCATGTCATGTGTGTAGATTCGTTTATTCACTACATGTGCTTTAAACTAGCAACAAAGGGGTTTTGCTTCCGAAGAGGACATTATCATGAGGTCGACATACACTCTGAGCAGCGTATGTATGAAGCCAATGATAATAAGTACATTCCTAGGGGGAGTGTAGCGGTATATTGGAATGCCCTTGGTGTAGATCGGCCATCATTCACCACACATTTCCTTAAAATTTACGCTAAGCTAAAGCCATGGGTGTGGGTTATCACTGAGTCTCGTGTTGATAGGAACACGTTCATTAGAGTAGTGGGTGAGTTGCCTGGTGGCTATCGAGTATCCGGCTTTGCACTGCGAGGTTGTACTGGAAGGCCGGGGCTGTTATCATGTGGGACAGTAGGTTAATCCCCCGATTCACTGGCCAACAAGAACTTTGCAATTTCGAGATATTTAATGTTTGCTTTACAATGAGATAATTACATTGTACTAGTGTTTAAACTTTTTATTAAATTGTTTGCGAAATTAGTATGAATGTACCAGTTACATTTTCATATGTATGCAAAATATATACCAAGCAGTTATTGGTTGGTATAGTAGTAGTTTATATTGCAATTCATTTTCATAACCGTGCATCAGTTCAGTGATTATGCCATTTAAATTATAAATATGATTATTTAACTCATAACCTTATAAATGGCAGAATGTAAATGACATATATGTTTAAAAGTTCTTTTACTAATGATGTTAATGTTTGTACACAAAAAGCAAATAGAAGGTGCTACTAATCCCTTTTTTTTTTGGGAAATTCTCTTTGATAACACTGTAATATTTAATTTTCTCAATGGTGAATTGCAAAATTTTTATTATCTTTGGTAAACTCAAACTTTTTATATTAACTAACCATAACATTAGTAATAAAAGTATAGTTAAACATTTAACTATAGTTAGTTATTTTTTAATTTATTTTATTATTATTATTATTATTATTATTATTATTATTATTATTTTACTAATTAAAAAAAATTAAAACAAAAAAAAAGCCACCCCACCAACCAGACACCATTCCCGCCCCTACCCACGTCGGCACGGTGGCGCCAGCCCCATTTCCGTTGACTCGCCGGCCTCCCCCTCCCACTAAACCGTCATCAGCAACCACCACCCAGATCGCAATCACGTCCTCTTCCCCCCTGAACCGTCATCATCAACCACCACCTAGAATTAAAACCAAAACCCTCCTTCGCCGGCGCCATGCGCTCTAAGCTCAGTCGGCGGACGCCCAACCTCCCCCACGGCCGGCGATGCCCTATCTCTCCTATTCGCCGGCCGAAAATCCTTAAACCCACCCAAAAACACCAGAAAATACCCAAACCCGTTTTGGGGTTCGAAACCAAACCTAGAAAACATGTTGGGTTTTCCGATGGTTTTGGGTGGGATTTAGGTTTCCGTGGTCGGCTTACAGGGGAGGAGGTTTTTCAGGGAGGAGGAGTGGTTTTCTTGGTGGTTTGGGGTGGGTTTAAGGGTTTCGTGGTGGGGGAAATAGGGGTCGGGGTAAAGGGAAAGAGAGGAGGTGGGGGACGGGGAGGCTGGGCGTCGGTAGTGGGGGAGGTTGGGCATCAATCATGGGGGAGTCCAGACGTCGCCGGCTGGGGGTTGGGCGCCTAGCCACCAGCAGTGGTGTTGCTGTCGCTGGTGGCTAGGTAAGGTGGTATGGGGTTTGATTTTTTTTTTTTTTTTGGATTTGGGTTTAATATTAACCATGGTTAGTGAATTATATATAAAATAGTCATTCTCTTTGGTAATCAATAGTTCAGATTTACCAATGATAATAAGTTTTTTCACAGTTTACCATGACAGTGTTACCAAAGAGAATTTCCATTTTTTTTTTTAATTTTTTTGTTTTTGTTTTCAAATAACTTCCATGTTTTTTTATAACAAAAATAATCCTCTAAATAACTTCCACCGATTTCCTAAAAATTTTTAAAAAAAACCTCCCTTCCACTATTTTTAGTATTTTTTTTTCCTAATAACACGTTTTGTATGCATTGCCGATTGGAACACAAAAAACACTAACACGTAACAGACAGAGTAACCCCAAGCCGAGTAACCTCAGATCGAGTAACCTTTGACATATCGAGTAATCCCGGACTGACTAAGTAACCCCTAAATAAATAGCCCCTCATGATGTGCCAGCCAACATTAAATGTATACATTATATTTGCTATGCAAAAGAACAAAGTAACATTTTTAACATTGATTAATATTTCAAATAATCGTTTAATAACTACGTTATCATTAATTCAATAATTATCAACACAAAAAAATTATCAACAAAGTAGCATTTTGCACGGGTACACTATAGTGTGGATTAAGTCAAAGGTATCTAGAATTATTAGTGTTATATATCAGATAATTAATTATGGAGAGACTATATTATTTTTCACATTTAATTATATCAGACAATTAATTACCAACCAACCAAGAGATGAATAAATACACATTGAATTTTGATGGGAATAAAGCAACATATCTCATTAAATGAAGACATAAATAGATCATTCAATTTTCATAAAATATATGTAATACATTGTAAAGAAAAGTGTGGTACAATACGGTGAATACTCATGTTGGAACCTGATTACAGCGAGGATGGTATAATTTAATATCCTGTTGGTCTTAAACCAATGTTGTTTTGAGCTCGGTTGGTACCCAACTGTTATTTAATGATATGCAGCATATCCGTACCATGTTATTAATGGGGATTTTGCACCAACTTTATTTGTTATTTTAACCAAAGTGCACATGAATAAATTCACTCTACCTACGAATTGTACTTGTAGTATTTAATAATCATAAGTGTATTTGTAGATTTGAACTTTGTATTTGCATTTCACCAAAAAAAAAAAAACGCTTCTCTTAACTCATTTCCCCCTTTCTAACTACGTATTTTCATATGGAAAACCAAAAGAATCAAAGATCCTCTTCATCTTCCAACAACAGAATCACAAGAACCGTGACCCATCGATACACATACGCCGAAAAAGGAAAAGCGAAAGTGGAAGACTTTGACATAAACAAGGAACTTGAAGAACCCGGAGAAAGGGATGTGAAGGATACCATCGGCACGATTGTTCTCGAGAACCTATCAAAGAGCCTTATTTGGCCATTTCAACTTGCCGTTTATAGTGGTAAAGGATCGGGTGCTATATGTGGTATAAGGTTTCATCCCGATTATCCTTACTTGTCACTACTACAACTTGGAAAACCTAGAGAATTCAAAAAGGATGCATACTGCTTGTTATTTTACTTACTAGATGTTACAAGATGGCTTTTATTTTTGATGTGATCAAATTGA